AATGAATGAAAGTCCCATGGTGTAAGTTGATCAATAAATATAAGAAGCTCTGTGATGCTGCATCTAATTATTCCCTGAGCCACTAGGAAAAAAATTTAAATGTTGCCCATGAAATGGTCATCTTGCTTTTATATCACCTGGAGACTTTATTTTGTACTCCAGAGATCTCTTTTAGGATTATTATTAGAACGTACTCTGTGTGTGTGTGTGTGTGTGTGTGTGTACGTGCGCGTGCGCGTGCACCAGCACTGGGACTAGCACTCTTCCACTTGAAACACACACTACTTCCAGTTTTTTTGGTGGTTAATTGGAGATGAAAATCCCACAGATTTGCCTACCCAGACTAACTTTGACCTGAGATCCTCAAATCTCAGCCTTCACAACAGCTAGGATTACGGGTGTGAACCATCACCAGTACCTGATTTAGAACATTCTCCACCTTCTCCCCCCCCCACCCTCTTATTTCATATTACTGCTGGGCATATACACACTCAGCGGTAGAACACTTGTCTCACATGTAGGAGGTCTAGATTTGATTCCTGGCATTGGCAAACACACACACACACACACACACACACATATACACACACACCCCTGAAAAAGCAGCTATTAGGGAAATCAATCAGTTAACATGTTCCTAAAATTCCTTCCAGGCTGGAGTCACCTCTCTAAATAGCTCCTCTCCTGACACCCACCCACACCTTTCATCGGGCTTCTGGGTGAGGGGCTGTGATCCCTCTAAGCAGCTTTTCTTCTTCACAGTTCTCAGCCTGGGGGAGCCTTGTCCTCCTGGACCCTCTCCGTAGGCTTCCTGCTTTCCCCATCCCTGAGGTCACTGCTGTCCATTTCAACTACCCAACAGAACTCCTCAGAGTCCAATTGAGAGGGATGGGGATCCACAGAGCCTAGGACCCCCTCCCCTCAGCCCAAACAACCACATAAACCTAGATATGGGTGAGAACAAACTTTAAAAAAAAAAAAAAGGCATGATGGGGGCTGGGAAGGTGGCTCATGGTAGAGTGCTTGCCTCGCATGCATGAGGCCCTGGGTTTGATTCCTCAGCACCACATAAGCAGAAAATGCTGGAAGTGGTGCTGTGGCTCAAGTGGTGGAGCTGAAAAGCTGAGGGACAGTGTCCAGGCCCAGAGTTCAGCCCCCACCACAAACAAAACTTAAGCATGAGCCCAAGAGGGAATGCCCTGCCCTACTCAGGCCTCTGGTCTGGCCTGGCAAGGTCACCTGGAGCCTGGCCGCAGACAGCCTCAGACTTGCTGGCCTAGTGGCCATTGTGTGTTACCTTTCTATCCTGCCTACAAACCCAAGGAGTCCCAACTCCTTTGCTCGCTCAGGTGAGAAGATTGGGGGAGGGGAGACCTGTTGCTGGCAAATCCCTTCAATTCTAAGATCATCTCCCTACCCGGAAGGGCTAGGGTGAGGCCTGCTGCCACAGCTGCTTTCCCGGGAACTGGCGGAGGGGGTGGGGTGCTGTGACACCGGACTTGGAGCAGAGATTCCCAGCTGGGGCTCTCCCAAGTTCCTTCTCCCACGAGTCTCTTCTAGGGTAGGGGCTCCCCCTCCCCGGAGTGTGGAAACACAAGAAGGGTGCTGAGACTCCTGCCAGATAACAACGAAATCAGGCCACCGATCAGGCGAGACCGCATCTGGTTGGGTTTCTGGAGTTCTTACGCGGTGCCGGCTCAAGGCCTTGCTTCGGCTTCCTGTTGGCGGTGTAGGAGAGCGTCCTCCGCTTGCTTGGGCTGGGCAGGGAGACTTAAAAACTTACCATGGTTTACGCGACTCAGGACCCCCATTCTTTCCTTCCACTTGGCAAATTTCACCAAAGACTCCCATGCCAATCCAGAATCCGGAAAGATCCATGCCAGAGTCCACTTTAATTTAATTTTATTAAATGAGGTGCCAGATAAAGGGATAGGGTGTTCCCCTGTGCACCTGCGACGCCCTGGGGTGGGTGCTGGGTGTCTGCGTGGAGTTCACAGCGAGGCTGGGACTCCCAGCACCAATGAGCGACCCGCGGAACCAAGCTGAGACCCCCTCCACCTGCGCCCCCAAACATAGGCGGTCCCGGCAACTTGGGACCCTGGCTACCTTTCTACCGACAGGAGGACGATTTGCTCAGAAATCCGAGGCATGAACCCCAACGCTTCGGCCGTCCCCCCCGCACCTTCCCTGCGGACGCATCCATCTCCAACTTTCACCCCCAGAGCGCAAACCCCGACATCCTCACTGTCCCACCGCCCGCAGACCATCTATTTCCATTTCTGCAGTGTCCGGGCGATCGCAGGGGGTCCCGAGCTCGAGACCACTTCCCCGCCATTCCCGGCCCCAGCCGCGGGCCCGGGGCGTCCGGGAAGCGCACTCAGGGCCTCGGCCGGCCAATCCCGTGCGTTTGGTTTCCCAGGATCTGGGGGCAGAGAAGGGACTCGTGTGGCAAGGATCCCGGAAGAACCAGATCCCTTCTCCAAGCTCCAGGCCTGGGGTGGTGGACCGGGAGGGGAGCTCGGTGCCCAAAGGAGCGGATTGCTCGGAATAGAGTGGGGACCCTTCGCCTGAGGTCCGGGCTTGGTGTCTGCCTCGGAGACTTCGCTGTTCACGGGAGCCGCCCGCCCGGAGTTTCCAACAAATCTCAGGAATTCTCCCAAGCAATCAAGCCCCGAGCTCTTCCCGGGCCCCGAGGGACTCGGTCTGCGGTGCCCGATACCCGTTCTTTCCAAGGAGCAGAGCTGTGTGGACTGGGACAAAAACTCCATCCCCCCCCCCACCTCCACTCCCAACCTCCACCCCAGCCCTGGAATCCAAACCCCTTCTTCTGAGGCCCAACTTCCCTCACTGACCTACTGGTAACCTCGCATCGAGTCAGGTTCCCATCTCTGCCTGGTTGGGGGGGGGGGAAAGCGGTGCTAACTGAAAGTTTGGAGTCTTTGTGATTTGATTCCTCCTCGTTAGTAGCCGCCTCGCCCCCCACCCCCTCGGGAAACGCCTTCCATGCCCAAATCAAGTAATTTGCCTAAGGTGACAATCTTCCACAACTCTGCAGAAATGACCAAAACAAAGTGGAAACTCAGTCCCCCAGGCCTCCTGGCCTCAGAATTCCACACTGGAACTTCCATCTCCTTTGAACTGGAAAGGATTAAGAGGAATTCTGTAAGCCACTTGGCCCTCAGAGCCTGGTACAGAAAGTTACCAAGCATTGCTAGGTTGCGCTGACCTTAAGGGTAGCCCCGAGGGAAAGAACTAGGGGACACCATCACAAACAGGATTTGTTCCTTCCAGGCAACCAGCATAGTCATCTTGGTGACCCCTGGGGAGAACCAGGGCACCACGGACTGTATGGAGAGATGAGTGCCAGCCTTCTGAATGTGTTAGTGAGCCTCTCTCTCCCCGTCTCTCCCCCCTTCCTCTTTCTCTTTCAATTTCTCAATTTCTCCTCCTCAACCCCCCCCCCCACCTCCCCCATTAAGGTTGGGTATTCTGGGGAAAGGAAATCCAAACTCAGGTTCCAGGACAAGGCCAAGGTCATGGTGACCATCACAGATGGGGGCCATAACTGTAGAGTGATCACTGCTTTCTGAAATAGGAAGTCTTCACTTGCGTGAGGGTAAGTGTTCCACACTCCTTTCCCTCAATTGGGGGCGGTGGGGGGTGGGGGTGGAATCGTGCTAGAACAGACCTGGCTTTGAATCCTGTCCCCCCCCACCCCCCTTAGTACTGCATGATCAACTTGTATCACTTTTTCAGAGCTTTAACCAAAAAGCTCACCATTGCTCCACTATCACCCTACTCACACTAAAGAAGCACAGGGACAGAAACAACACACATGAGAGTTCTAAGACCATTCTAGAAGGCAAAAGAGCAATCGACAGAGACCTTCCTTGTGAGGAGTGGCTCTGGCGTGTTGTGCTCCTAGAAAGGGTCACCCTATGAGGGCTGTGGGGTGGGGCAGCTAATGGTCTTGTCTCTGCCACCCTCTCTGGTGTCCCTGCTCTGGTGGTCCTTCCCCCCTGGGGGGGGAAATCAGAGACAAAGCAAACTGTGGGTGAGCACCCCCTACACTGATGCGTGCAGCTTGTGGTCGCCTCTTTGCAAAATTTCTTATAATGCGCTTTGGCCTTCAAAAAAGCGCCGATCAGGTGCGGATCCTTCCAAGTCCCCGAGATCGAACCAACCACCCAGGCAGCTCTGAGCTCTGGGCCCGATTCGCCTGGCTGGTAGTAAGCTGCTGTGGCCAACAGTTGAGTCCCGGAGATTCGGAGGAAGCTGGAGTCCAAGCTGGCTCCCAGGAGCCCAGAGTGAAATCGATTCGTAAAATCCCACCGACTCAGTCACGGGTGGGCCATACCTGATCAGGGCACATCTCACCTCCGTGGAGCCAGACGAAAGGATGCCCCAGAATCGTTGGCGACTGCCATTCGAACCTTGCCGCGCCCTCCACCCCCAACAGATTCGGAAGCCCCCGCACCGAGCCCCACGGTGTCATAAAATATTTTATTGGAAAAAAAAAGTCACCGTCTTCGCAAGAGTGGGGAGAGGGGATAGGAGTCCCAGCGACTTCGGGGACGCAGTCCCAGGCACTGCCAGAGCGGCAGCACGGTGACCCGGCGTCCTCTCTTGTGGCCGGGGCGCGGGCGCCTGGTCCCTGGGGCGCGGAAGCGGGCGTGTGCCGGGCGGCGTCGCAGCCCGGAGGTGGGGTGTGGTGGGGGCAAGGAGCGGGGCGTGAACGCACGTGGAGATCCGAGCACCCCCTGAGTCGTTTCCCGCTGTGCTGGACTCGACTTTCCTGGGTTAGGGCCTGGGCTTGGCTTCAAAGTCTGTGTCCTTCTTTGTTTGGCCCCTAATTGTCCGCAATCGAAGTATTAACCGCACGTTTGAAGACGGCTGCGTGTGTGTCCGCGGAAGGGCCAGCTCGTGGCTTCCCGCAGGCCGAAGGGGAACCACGGGCAGTCGCCAAAGTCCCCCTCCGAGTCAGCCAACCTCCACCGAGTTCAGTCCTCGCGGCTCGGGTCGCTGGGCTCTCCGGGCACCTCCGCCGGCTTCTCCGCCTCCTTGGCGCGCTCCTGCTCGGTGAGCTGCTCACTGGTCGGGATGGAGTTCTTCTTGGGCCGTCCCTTGGGCTTCGTAGGGGACTCCAGGCCGCCGCCCTGCAACACCTGCTCAGGGGCACGGGCAGGGCAGTGGTGAGATGGGACACAGATCGAGGAGGAGGCCGGGTGCCTCACGTCCCTGAGCAGCGGAAGGACATAACCCAAAGCATCCAGGGGGACCCCCCTCCCTTTCCCCCCCCCCCAGTCCCGGGAAAATAGCAACAATTTGAGCGCTGCTGGGGACAAATGTGGCCAAGGGGGTGGAAGCTGCCAGGACGTTCAGAAGGAAAGGAATGAATGTTAATTGTGCTGGTGCAAGCAATCAGACATCAGTTACCAAGAAGTCAGGGCGATTGGGAGGCCTCCGAGGAGGAGGATGGGAGAGCACAACTAGCGTGTGATCAGGGAGACCCAGGGTGTAAGGAGCCACCAAGAACACTCACTATTTTCTTCCACTTCATCCTCCGATTCTGATACCAAGTCTTCACCTGCAACTGGCTCAGACCCAGAGACTCGGCGAGGTCTATCCTGCAATGAGCAGGGCGCATCCTCAGCAGGGCAGCCGATTGCCCTCCAGTTGTCTGCTGGCCCTGGCTTTGCCCCCAGGCTTACCTGTCTGGCGTGGAGAGATACTTCTGCTTCTCAAAGCGTTTCTCCAGGCCCATCAACTGCAGCTCGGTGAACACAGTACGGCTCCGGCGCCCTTTCTTGGCTTTCGTGCCCGGCTCCCCAGGGCCTGATGCCTCCAATTTCCCACGGAGTTGCAGCTCCAGTGGCAGGTGCGGCGTGCCCGCAGCCCCCGGCAACCCAGGCCCCGCGGCCAGCAACGCGGAGCCCAGCCCGGAACACCCAAGGGGCGCTAATGGGAACTTGAACACCGCGGCTTGCTCGGCCTTCAGCACCGCTGTGAGGAGAACAGGATCCCAGTGAGCTTGAGCTGTGCTCTTCCCGAGTGAGCTGTAGAACTCATCTAGTGCCACCCACATGGGCGTTAGACGCTTGGATTTCCACCCCATGCCACGAGCAACCCCTTCCCACATGGGGTGTCCTCCAGAAATCCTGAAAGGAGAAAACACCTCCATCCTGTGTTCTGCTCTGCCTTTCCCAGGCCCCGAAGCTGAGCCTGAAATTTCTGAAAGCTCAGGAACAAGTTCACAGCTCTGAGAAGCACGGGCTATGTCTTTCGTGGAAAACTAAGGAGAAACGACGACGACTTGAAAGGTGGGCGATGGCCCCAACCAAATCATCATTTTTGCAACCGAAAAAGAACAGGCTGGAGTGGGGGGCATATGCACTTCCGTGGGAAGCTCAGCCTGCCACCCCGCAGCCAGCCGCCAGAGCATCATTTGGGGGTGGGGGTGGGGCGCTTCCTGAAAATTGAAAAGTATGCTGCGAACACGAAAATTATCGTTGCTGTTTTCACTGTTCATGTTATTTCCCACGAAAATGTTCCTATGTTCTTTAGTCCTAAAGAAAATTCTTCAGCCCGCTTAAAACGAATTTCCAACAACAGAGCAGATGCAAATGCAAAGCGGGGCAGAAGCTGTGTCCCAGATAGACCAACCGCCTCTGGACAGGCGAGTTCCGACTGGAGCTGGCGCAGGGAAGGTGGCTAATGGGGCTGGGGTCCCCTCTAAGTATACGAGGCCTTCCTTTCCCTCAGGAGTATCATGGTGGGGTGAGTTCCAGCCCCAAACTCTCATAGGCCCCCTGCAAGATCTAAGTGGGAAGAAGGACTGAGGAGGTAATGGGAGAAAGAATTTTTAGGGAAAATGTAGGAGTGGAGAGGTAGACCTAGCCCTCCAAGACAGAATGAAGTGGTTGGGCGAAGAGTAGAAAACGAAAAGCAATGGGAAGATGGAAATTGGTGGAAAGGACATGGCAAGAGAGGGCAACTCCTTACCAACCCCTTAAAGAAGAAAGACAGGACAGAGGCAAGAAAGATCTGTCAACTGACTGCAGGACTGCAGCGGCCCAACCCGGCAGCGATTCACAGCCAAGCATTACGCCCTCCAGCCGGGCCCAAGCAAGTCGGCGCTGGGACGGAGGCCTCTTTGGTCGCAGGCTGGGGATCACAGGGCCCGGGAAGGCTCCGAGGCCGGCTGGGGCCAGCTCGGCACTCAGAGATACGAGGCCTTCTCTAGGGCTCCAGCTTTCTGAGTCTGGGCAGCCACGGCCACTCCTGGTCAGCGGTGTGCAGCAAAGCTCGGGCGTTCAGGGCCTGAGAATTTTTTATTTTGTTTTTATTTATTTCTTTTTAGTCCACAGTGGTCGGGAGAGTAGTCAGGCGCCTACGATGGCCTTGCGGACTCTGGTCCCTGGGCCGGGCCCCCAAACCGTGTAGGATGCCATAGAGTTACCCTGAAGCTGAGAGCAACTATGCCCTCCACGGCGCAGCGCAGGGGCACGAGGCCTGGTTTCCGTGCAGCCCATCCATTGCCTGCAGCCTCCCAGCGTGGAGTGCGCACACGTACGTGTCCTGGGTCGACTCCGGGGACCCAACGGGAGAAGGGTGGACCCCGGGCACCCCGGCTTTGTCCCTCCCGCCAAGCCCAGCCCGCGTCCCCCACCCCCACCCCCCGGCCTCCGCACGTACCCAGGTGGCTGTGGAAGGGCCGCGCCGCCAGCAGCGCCTGCACGCCGAA